TTTTAAATTTCACATTTGAAATCTTTATGTTGAGATAGTCATCAAACGTTTCTTAAGAAAAACTTTATATTTTATCTGTTATTTTCAGTAATTAATCTCTGTATGGGTTCAGTAGATTTGACTGATCTTGTAACCACTATAAAAAATTAGGAAATAAATATAAGATATGCCTCTTTCATTCTAGAATGTACACAAATTATAATGCGAAAACATAAATGTTTAGACTAAATAGCTTAAATCTCGTAACATTTTACATTTCTATATTATTATTATTTTTATTATATCGACCTTTCAGCTGTGCCTGGTTAACAATACTGAAGTTAAAATGAAGTGGCTCACATGCACTCATGTTACCGTATCAGATAACATAAAACTAATCTTTGGTCTGTGCAAAGTAACTTGTTTTGGCTGTGTTTTAGTTTACTAGTATTTTGTAAAATACAGTCACATTTCAATTATTATACATAATATATATCTATATAGATTATTGCTATTTTGAAATACGTTCTTAAATATATTTTTCCTAAAACATAGAACAATAAATAAAGAAGTAAAGCAAACAAATATCTCTTCTTGTTATGACATTTGTACTCGATTGCTGCTTGATGTAGGTTGCTAAGCCTTTAAAAATTATGCACATGGAGGATATGGAACAAAATATTTTTTTAGGTTTTATATATACATTTGAATAACTAAAAAATCATAAATTACTACATTAATACTATAGAATTCCACTATAATTTATAAAGCTTAATAACTAAGATGTATTTTAGTCTAAACAAATAGGAAATTTTGAGCAGACTAAAGACACACACTACCTCGTTGAAATATTGGTTCAAAAGAAAGAAATGTGCCAAGCCCAATAAAAAGGCTAAGAAATCCACGAGGGGGATATTCTGAACTTCCGATTGGTTATTCATGTCATATATAGAAGTGTATATAATGGAGTGTTTCCAAAAATAGAAAGATGTTGGTGGGGTGCCATTGTGTTTGGTTTATTACATGATCAATATCTTAGCAAATTGAAAAGATAAGAGACTCTTATGTTATATTCTAGCTTGTCAATGTCGGTAATTTGAGTTTCTACTTCATTCAAAACTATAGACTTAGTATTTTGACTTCACAAACATCTAACTTGAACCACTGCTGCATTCAACATACCACGTGAAACACAAAATTCAGTGTTTATTTATTTTTTTAATATTTGTTTTTACATTAAGAAATTGAGTACTATGTAGTACTAAAATTTGAATTATAATCTACCAGACCTTTTGACATAAATTCATGAAATAGTAGTTCAATAAAATTTTGAATGCGAGTCAACAAATGAGATGACATGGCCTTTCACCCATGACCCGTCTCGAAAGGGTTAAACAATCTTGACACTTTTATGACTTCAATATATTTTGTAACCTTTGAAATATAATATTAAAGGAAGATCTAGCTATAACAATAATTGAGTTTTAGTTGGTTATATTCTCCAAAAAGATGTAATATTGAAAAATAGTAATTTTTTCAACTCTAGTTTATAATACATATCCATAATATTTCCAGATGAAACCTAAACCAGATGTGTCAATAGCTAATATTAATAAAAGTTGTTGGTAAACAGTGATCCATGCCATGGAAAGATGGATTTTGATTTAGAACATTTCTTGCCACATAAAAGACAGACTTAAACTGATAATATAAGTTATGACTATCCATAGCTTTTGAGAGATAGACTTGGATCAGAGATGTAAGTTATGACTATCCATGCAATACGAAAGACTGTTTTTGGTTGCAGATATTATTTTTTACTATCTACATTATCAGAGACAACCTTGGGCTGGTGATAGAAGTCAGGACCATCCATTTTATGTTAAAAAGAGAGACTTGGATTGAATGTGCACAGTAAGTTGTGACTGTCCATGGAATTTAATGGAAAGGTTTGGTTTGAGTATGTAATTTGTCACTATCCATGCAATATAAAGGAAAGATGTGATTTGAGTACGTAATTTGTGATTATCTATGCAATTTAAAGGAAAGGCTTGGTTTGAGTATGGAAGTTGTGTCTATCCATTGTGTGTAAAAGTGAAACTTGTATTGAATATGTAAGTAATGCCTACTCATGCAATTTAAATGAAAGGCTTTGTTTCAGTATGTAAGTTATGTCTGCCTGTGCAATTTAACCATATGTGCATGAGTTGGGGTCAAAGTCTGCAAACCTCGACCTTTTATAGAATATTATTCAACATTGTATTATGTATTTGATGTGAGAGTTATCAACAATTACTTTACCCTTCATTGCAGTTTGTGGTAGAGGAGAGTAAAAACCAGATACAATATACAGGAATACTGAAAAAGAAGCTGTACAGTTTGGAGGTTCTAGAGGTTATGCAAATGCAATTTGCAAACTGTATGATGGTCAGAAGTATTTTTATTCTTCACATGAACATCACCTTGCACTCCAACTTGTCAGGGTGTGAGTTAGACTGATGTCAATTCACAGACATGTATATCTATATCTTCATCACTTTTTTAACACATCTAAATTTTTGTGTACAACAGACTTGTATTTCACCAAAAGCATCTCATATTTTGTGTAGATACATGTAGAAAATTTGGAATTATAGTTAACATTCCCTCTCCAATACAGGGTCATTTCAATGGGCCAACCCCATGCACACTCAGTTAAAGTAAAAGCTTTGTTTGAGTATGTAAGGTGTGAAGCTTGAGTTTAGGATATTTGTGATTATTTACCCTTGCAATAGTGAAGCTTGGATTTAGGATATTAATTGTCACTATGTAAAAAAGAAGCTTGAGGTTGTTAACCATAATTATTCATGCAATTTTAAAAATAGACTTAAGTTGAGGATAAGTTGTGATTATCTTTGCTACAGTGGCAATTGCATAAAAGATAATATTAATGCAGTGATGTTTTGCTAGACTTTAGCAATAACAGTGCAAGAATTCTGCAAGGTCACACTACTTAATGTGTGGGTTATGTGATATACACATCTATCAAGAAAATTCAACAACCAAATGTTAACAGGATTCAACAATGTTTACAAAAAATAACTAATTACACTTCAGTAAAAAATATTTTATTCAAACCCATTGTTTTCTCATTGGATTGAGAATATTACACATAGGATTAATGCAGAATTCAAACTAACCAAAATATGACTAAACAATAAATTCAGGAAATGTTTTCTTCATCATACCCAGTACATATTTTCCTACAATTACAAACTCAACACCAGTGCTCTGATTCATTCATATACTACAGTTTATGAAGCCTTCACAGAATAAAATGCCCCCTGCCCCCTTTGTGTGAGAACGCCTGACTAAGCATTTATACAAAGCTATCAAAATATCTAGTTTAAATATCCTTATTGTACAAATCCCTTGGTCACGGGTTTGAATCCCTGTCAATGAACATGCTCGCCCTTTCAGCTGTGGGCATTATAATTTGATGGTCAATCCCACTATTTGTTGATTAAAAACAAAATAGCCCCAGAGTTGGCAGTGGGTAATGTTTACTAGCTGCCTTCCCTCTAGTCTATCACTGCTAAATAAGGGATGACTAGTGCAGATGGTACAAAATTCAAAATAAACCAAATTGTAAAGGTTATTTTTCATATTTTCACTTTAGCACTTGATAACTATACAAAATTAAATAATGCCAGTTACATTTGTATGAAGTTAAACATTTGGTTTTAGAGTATATATATATACTGAATTAAAGCATGAATGTGCTACTTCTTATGATATATCACAAAGTATATATTATTTATAATTTAATATTGTAATGTCACAACATCATCCTTCAGGGATTTTTTCATACAAATCAACAGAATAGTTGAAAACCCATGGTATATTTCCCTGACTATTGTAATTTGTCAGGAGTAGAATAATAGTTGTGTGCATCCCCAGGATCCTCAAGGAGGTCATCATAGTCTACACTTCAACTATCAAAAGTTTATAATTTTGTATTCAACCGTAAAAACTCCTCTTGTTGAAATACTATTTACAAAAGGCAAAAAAAAAACAAAACAATATTTTTGCTGTATGTAATGTATAAATACTGAAGAAGAATATAGACACTTTTGGCTCCATATTTACTCTGTAGCCACTAAATTTTCAAAAACAGAAGCTCATGAATTTACTTAGTACAGGTAACTTTCAGAATAATACAGAGTGACATTAAAGAGAGGAATGATTAAGTTGAATTTTTATCATTTCATATAATATATATATAAGTAATTTTGATCAAGTTATATTTCATCTCTGTATTATATAATTTAATAAATGCATCTCTTTTCATAGATTTGGATAAGTTTATAACAACTTTTACAGCATTTTTGTCTGGTCTACCAAACTCTTTTATTTCTTACTTTTTGTTTATATACCCAGTGAATACTATAATCTGACCATAATATCTAAATATTGGAAAGTTATAATGAATAAAAACATTTAACATAGAATAAGCTGATACAGACTGTATTTATGTCAAATAAAGATGTGTGAGATACTAAGAAATGAAATATCAAGAACTTTATCTGAGTGAAAGCCTTAATATGTTAACGTTGTGGATGTAAGTAAACCCCAAATATCAGATGAACTGGCAAACAAGCTATTGGCAT